AATATGCATGAATTTCAACCTTGAACAAAGTTTCATTGTAATCTGTTTTAGTGATTATTGAAATATCACAGGAAGCGCCAAAAAATAATTTTTATTATGGAAATAGGGTAATTAATATGCATGAATTTCAACCTTAAAAGAAGTTTCATTGCAATCTGTTGAGTGACAATTGAAATATCACAGGAAGCGCCGAAAAAGGGTTTTTATTATGGAAATAGGGTAATTAATATGCATGAATTTAAACCTTGAACAAAGTTTCATTGTAATCTGTTTTAGTGACAATTGAAATATCACAGGAAGCGCCAAAAAAGAATTTTTATTATGGAAATAGGGTAATTAATATGCATGAATTTCAACCTTAAAAGAAGTTTCATTGCAATCTGTTGAGTGACAATTGAAATATCACAGGAAGCGCCAACAAATTATTTTTTATTATGGAAATAGGGTAATTAATTTGCATGAATTTCAACCTTGAACAAAGTTTCATTGCAATCTGTTTACTGATTATTGAAATATTACAGGAAGTGCCAAAAATTGACTTATTTTTTATGGAAATTAGCTAGTATGCAGATGTGTTTCATGATGCACTGTCGGTATAACAACTTTGAAAATAATGGTCAATGCATGGCAAAGAACCTAATGCGTGTATAGCAACATGAAAAAACATGGCCACCAGAGGATCAAATTGAATCAAACCACAAACAAATATTGATGTGTATAAAACATACATTGCACATACAATCAATTTTTACATACGTTGATACACATCGGGGAAATAGCTTCTGGGGTATGGACACATAACCGTAATTCAAAGCAGTAACAAATAAAATATAACTGTGGATAAAGTGAAACAAATGCAATCTTGCACTAGAAACAACTAAAATAATATTTCTAGAAATGATAGTAGTTGAAGAAAAAAATAATGGGAAAACATGTTTTTGACAAATATTTCACACTACGCTGTATTAAACAATTGATGGGACATTAAGCATCAAGCAAGACGATAAGTTAGGTCTGAGGAAGAATCTTTGGAATGAAACATCAGCAGCAAGCCAAGCAGGTTAAAGAGGCTTTTATTGCGATGTACCAGATGTTTTGTTGTTGTTTACCTCTATTGACGAAACCACCGCTAGAAACAGGTTGACAATCTTTCACACATATCTGACAAGTCCACTTTCCAGATGGTACTTTCAATAAGGGCGGATCAGTACACCGAAGATGGAAAGCCAGTGGGCAGACATCGCAGAGAATTAACTGTCCATGCTTGTAGCACCTGGCACACACATCACAGTGGCTGTCTGTGCCGTCACTGCAGCCTTCCAGGGGAGAACTCTCAGCTTCAAGCACACACAGTTGGCACAACCAGATGTCCGGTGGCACTCCCAGCAATGGCGGGTCGACACAGTCGAGGTGAAACGACAGTGGGCAGGAGTCACAAAGAATCAATTCACCACCTCTCCTGCAGCGAGCACACCGATCACTATGGCCATCAGCGACAATCCCCAAGGTTTCAAGATCAGAAGAGAGAGAAGAGGGAGATGAAGAAGTTGGTAATAACCCTTTCCTATGTTTACCTTTGAATTTGATACCAGTCGGCTTTTTCTGTGATTTGTCGGTACATACTTCACATATCCATTTGCCGGCTGGGATTTTCTTCAGTGGTGGATTGGCACACTTTAAATGATATGCTGAGGGACACGTCTCACACAGGATCAGCTGACCTTCTCTGCCACACTTTGCACACTCGTCACAATGGCTGTCCTCCTCGCTGTTATTACTCTCATCGTCTGAATCAGAGCTAAAAATAGAACACAGAGGAGTCAATTATTCCTACTGCTTACATGGATGGACACAACTATTCAAAATAATTTATGTCTACAAAATTAAAAACATCTCATCCTCTACCTTGCTTCAGCACTCTCATCACTATCATCATTGCATTCATCATCATCATCACTATCCTCTTCTTCACTTTCATCTTCGCTTGATGATTCAGCTTCACTCCTGCTACTTTCATCATCATCATCAGCTTCTTCTTTCTCTTCTTCATCATTGGACGAATCATAATCTTCCAAGGTGGACTTTCTTCGCCGTCTACTATTTTGTTTGACAATCTTTGGACGACAGTCAACGCAGTACCAATCACCAGAAGGTATTGACTGCAAGACAAAATTATAAAGTAAACAAGTCATTGTCAATGACACGTCCCCATTCCATTCATATTTGAGTGACATATACATTCAAAGCAGATCATGACCGAAATACACCTGCATATGTACAACACATTGTACTAAATCTGAACGAAATCCATCCATGCATGACTGAGATCCGGTTCCGGAATTTGAAAATACGTGATTTTGATGCATTTTCGGCCTTAAAATGGCCATCATTCAGCTATTGTTAAGCGGATCATGAAACAAATGCACATATCTATTTGTGACATGATGTACCATGTGTGTGTGAAGTTTGAACTTGATCAATCCAGACATGTCTTGGATACGGATCCAGAACTGAATTCTTTAACAAAATGGCCGCCAGTCGGCCATTTTGAACTTGATCCGGGAAAAAAAAAGACGTGCATTAAGGTCCTATTATGTTTAATGTATGTACCAAATTTGAACAAAATCCGTCCATGCATAACTGAGATTCGGGTCCGGAATGGTGAAAATGTGCGATTTCAATGCATTTTCGGCCTTAAAATGGCCGCTATTTGGCTATCATTAATCGGATCATGAAAAAAATGAATGTGCATATGTCCCATATATTGTGTGATGTATGAGTGAAGTTTGAACTTAATCGGTCCATGCATGTTCGAGATACAGGTGATCACGGACGCACGCACGGACGCACACAGGGCAAAACATAAGTCCCCGTTTTCGGACTACGTCCGAACGGGGACTAATTAACACCATCGCCAATCTATTCCTGTGAAAAGTAACGCAGACACTGTAGCTCTATGGTCCTGATTATTCTACAAGACATAAAACATTGCTTAGGGGTTGATGCCAAGGGGAATATATCAGGTCACATCGAGCAGTGTCTTACCTTGACAGGCGGTTTAAGACAGTACATGTGATGACCACGGTCACAACCATCACATAGTAACATACGTTCAGCGTCGCCCTTTCTACGGCATATTCTGCATCTGGCATGCAGGATGGACTTGGACCACATAACAGAGGAATCTAGCGTCGCCATGTGGAGGAACAACTGAGGAATGCTGGAGGAGGACATCAGGGACTCCTGCCATCGCTCTGTGATAGTTTTCTCAGGCTTGGAAGGTTCAGACTCTTCATCTGTGAAAACCCAATACAAACGGGTCATAGATGAGAATTGGGAATGTTTGTTTCAAGTTTCATGCACAAGCTACAAAAAACAAATATAAGTATGATATTGGAAGGGATGAAGCATTTGTCATTATTTGTTTGTTGTATAATTATGTTTATTTATAACAAAAATAGCTGCTGAACAGTGAGTAGGCTATTTCCATCATCTTTCCAACAGATTTCATCGTTTTATACAAAAATATGCATTTCAGAAAACTTTAGATACTTACCGGAGGACGATGACTCTTCATCACTGTTCTCGTTGCCTTTCTCAGCTTCAGCTTGTTCTTGCTTTTTCTTGTCCTTCTTTTTGCCTTTTTTACTCTGTGCCACCATTGCCTGGAATTCTTTCATCGCCTTCTCCTGAGCTTCCTTTTGTTTTGACTTCTTGGTGGCTTCATCTTCACCTGGAAAGTGATGACCATTTAAAGCATTTGTGATATTTGTCATTTTGAAAATGAAAAACAAATCAGGTCAAATAGGCATGGTTCTTTAAATGTATTTGTGAAAACCTAAACAATAGTTTAGTATTATGCAAATAAGATAATTATTATGCACAGATTTTTTCTAATGTAAACACATATAAATAAAAAATCATTATACAAAAAATATACTATCCAGGGAATGAGTGTGTCTGTAAACATGAACAAGACTAGAGATGCTAGAAAGTGCTCCTGTGTAAAGAGAATTAATATTTAATAACAACAATCTGCATCAGCTTCTTATGCTAATTTAGGGGTGATCTCATATTCAAACACTTGGGTCAAACTGAGTTAACCCAGCCTGACCTTTCCAAACCTACTTGACCTATAATATGCAAATTTGTAGTAGGTCTGAACCTTCTACACCTGGTGAAAAACACATTAACACCCCCACTGAAAACAAACAGAAAACAATGAAAGACAAACCAGGGAAACCTAGGTTTAGATTAGGGAAACCTAGGTTTAGATTAGGGAACTTAGGTTTAGTTTAGGGGAACCTTGGTTTTTCTTACAATACAGTTTGAAAGAGGAAGATTCAAAAGAGCTAAAAGTAGGGGAAAAAATAAGATGCATATTTTGAAGTGTTAATAAAAAGAATTACAGCAGTGATTTTTTTTTAATAAAAAAACAAACTTTTATTTGTTTTATAAATTTAAATCATGTCATTTATAAGTGTAATGAAAATTATATTTATTTATTTATTTCTGTGATTGGTAATAATGATCTGTTTGGCACAACTTGTGATACAGGTCAATACAATCAGTCAATCTATCTGCAATTAATTACAGACAAGATGATCTGATATATTTTATGTCATTATTAAGTATGTATCAAGTAAAACCATATACATGTACCCTCTATTGTGATACATATGGTGAATTAATGTTTGAAACAGAACAGGGGAAAAATGAAATAGAATTTTAATGAGCAGCTTCTCAGGATGAAATTCTTATGTTATATATATAACAAGTCATTGAAAATGACACAGTTCCCCGTTAAATTTTTGAAAGTTCTCTTTGTGCTCGTCATATTAAAGCGGAGGGGTTGTCGTGAGCGTGTCCTTGAAACTTGAGGTTCAAGTGGCATATACAACAGATTGTTTATTTACATCAAAACACGTGTTCCGTGTAGTAGTAATATGGCCAAATAAAAACAACCGTTATTCGGCCATCTTTGATCTGATTATGAAACACACTGATATGTATGATGTATGTGCCAAATACGAGTGAAAATGGTACACAAATTGTGGAAATATAGTAGTAAGGCCAAAAAGTCAGATGGCTGTCAATCGGCCATCCTTGACCAGATTTTGAAACAAATTGTCATGGACATGCATCCTAACATGTATTAAGTACATGTATGTGCCAAATTTGAATGAAAACTGACAGAGCACGTCCAAGATATCGCATAAAAAATCAAAGAAAGCTTAGAAAGAACTCCTGTGTGCTGAGAGTATTGAAGACACATTAAAAATTAATTCAAAATTACTTGTACATGAGATATTGATAGAAAAACTGAAAACTAATTATATAAATCAGGTAACTAATATGAACAGAACAGAACAAAAAAATTATGAATTATTATGCTAATTAGAGAATTAATATTAATCAATATTAATCAGG